GGGGGGGGGGGGCAGCATTTGTTTCTTTTTTTTAAAAGCCTTCTTCAAAGGCATTGGGTGTTGGCTGCAGGCAAGGCTAGGGATTTTGACTGGGCTGTGGCAGTGCCTCTGTTGGGACTTAAACCTGGAGGTCCTGGCTAGAAGGTCTTGCCCCTCCGCTCAGGGTCATACTGATTGCCACATCTGGGGTCAGGAAGGAATTCTATCCCATGGTCGGATTGGTACAGACAGAGGGTGGAGCGGGTCGCCTCCTTCTGTAGTGGTGGGGCATGATCTTCTCCCTGGGATCTCTTGTGGGTATATTAACACCCTTTTACAGAAGCAGGATGTTGGCTGCCATGGTCATCCTGCTCTACCTGTGGCAAGTTTGGGTGTCATGTCTTGTGGCTGTGGCAGTGTTGACTGTGTAGTTTTGCTCAGAGGTTAGAAAGTGGATTTGTATAGGATGGCCGATTCTGCTTCAGGCAGGGAGTTGGACTAGGTGACCCCTGGAGGTCCCTTCCAGCCTTCCTTCTCGATATTTCTATGAAAGACAAGTAGTTGCAAGTTAGACTTGCTTGCACTCCCCACCCCCCGCCCGGTCTTGGTTCAGTGATGCTCTCTCCCTTTGCCTTCGTGACAAGTCATAGCCTGGGACTTTTCGTTCTTTTGCTAAATCTCAAGGTGCTTACGACTTAGCTCCTTGGACAAAACCAGCCATAAACAAGCAAACAGACCACATTGTTTCCTGATCTGTGCAACTTTCTCCTGTACCAAAGCATTTGCCAATCCCTCACTTCTGGATAGGACAAGTCCTCCTCCTCTTCACAGAAATCTGAAGGCAGCACAAAACTTTGAGTCAGAGACAAAAAGCCATTAAGTGTCAGCTGAACCGAAGATGACACTTTATTCTAGGGCTGCTCTGCCCCTAAGGACTTGTAATCATGGTTGCATCTTGCTATCAAAATGATCAAAACCAGCTGCTTCACCTTTTGCAGCATCTTTCAGAGCTGTTTGCTCACTGGGGACTGCTCCAGCTTTGCCCAAAACATTTTTCCCACGCCTGAACCAAGGGGGTTACACTTCCATCCCTCACATAGTTTCTTATGGGGGGAAAAAAAATTATTCCTTTGGAAGTGCTAGCTGCTTCTCTTTTGTTACGGATAAATTCCCAACCACAGCCAGAAGGGTTGGTCTGGTGGAGAGTACAAAAGGGGAAAGTGCCTGGGTTCATCCGTCAGACTGCATCCCACAGAAATTCAGAAACTCAGAAACTACAAGGAGGTTGTCAACTTCGTTTCCTCTCTGGATATTGATTTCTTGTTGAGTTCTCTCTCTTTCCCTCTTTACTTCCAGGCTCCTAGCTCAGGATTGGGAAAGGAAGACTGCAGTCTGTTCCTTTGTTACATGGCAGCCTCTTTACCTCATTAGAAATAACACTGATAGTTTAGAAGACCAGCTTCTAACAGAAGCTGGACAAATGTGATGGAGATCCCAAGTGGACTCAGAAGACTAGTGTTTTGCCGTAAAGAGGAGGGTAATCTGCTCTGGGACCAAGACTTTAGGCTTCTTGGTCAAGGTATTCAGCCATCTTACGAATTCCAGTAACTACTATATAATGAAAGAAGCCAAGAGGGATTTACCCAAAGGTATTATCCAAGGAGTACACAGTTTCTAGTCATGGGAAAAGAAGTGGAGCAGGAGTGGGGATTTCTTGTGCAAAGCAATATCAGAGACTCATGCTCTGGAATGAGCTCCTACTTGCCTCGTCAGACTAGCTGCTCCTCAAAGGATTATGCCTGAAAGGAACCTGCTGCCCCAGCTCTGTGACTCTCTCTCCCTCACCTTGCAGAGGATCCTAGAGACAAGGGAAGGCAAGCAGCCAGTTTCATCTGGGTTCAAAAACTCTGCTAAGAAGCTCTCCTCTCTCTCCTAAGTACCGATTCAGAATCCAGACCACAGGGATGTCATGAAGTTTATCCCCCAAAGCCAGTAAGGGGCTGGAAATATGGGGAGAGGAAAGCCAGGGCCCAAGCTCCAGTGACAAAAGTCCCTCCACTCCAAGAATTTAAGAAGCGTTGCCTTGTTACTGCTGAACTTTTCATGGAGTCCATGAATGCCAGTTGATTCCCCCTACCACACACTTGCACAAAGCCAGTTCCAGCTGGGTCCCAAAAGTGAAATCTAGGATCTCCTCCATGCATGCTCTTGACTGTATAAATTATCTCTTCTTCATGGTTTACTGTGGCTTAGAAGTTTCTTCCTGACAGGGGGTAGGTTAAAGAGATTTTCCTGCTAGAGTCCCTTGATATCAGCCGCTGGTGTTTCATAGCAGTCTTCTACTAGTAGGATCAGCTACCAGGCCGGCTAGAAGTGCTCTATTCAGCTAGAACTTATTTTTCGCTAGGCCCAAATATGATCACTACATCAGACTATTAGATCTCCTGATGGGACAGCTTGGTTCGTGCCTCTGCTGCACTCTAGTGAGCTTATTCTTTAGAATTTACCTTTCCCTGGGCTCAAGGCCCCAATCTGCCAGTAGCTAATGCAGAATGAGGATAAACAGGCTCACCCATCTGTACAGCAGTTAAACAGTGGGCCAGGTTCTTTCCTCTCAGCTGGCGATATAGTCATCCATCTAAGCCTTCCCT